AAAATATCATATAGAAAATGTCGACAGGGGTCGACCTTTGGATGAATTTTGCCCCAATTTTGCTGAATCTATACTTAGCAAATTTCTTTTGCAACTGTTAATAATATGTTATGAGTGAGAAATTCTAACTTGTTATTTACAGAAATTCTATTCTACTCCCACAATGACAAAGCTTGTCTCTGACAGTTTGGGGTGGTCAACCAATAGCAAGGTTATTTTCATGATAACCACAGATGTAGACCCCTCTCTCTCAAAAAAGGATTAATATATTACTAATGCATCTTCAATCTGGATTTTGCTTCACATTTGACTGACGCTTCTTTAAATAAATTAACAGTTTTCATTATATGTACAAATAAAACCATGGCACTGGCTGCTTGGTTGATCAGAGTAGGGAAAAATGTAGAAAGCTGGCGTCTTGGACAAATAGAATTCAACGTGGAGTTGACAGAATTTTGTAGGGGGAATGGGGGGAAGTAGATGTACATGTACACAAAAATAAATAAATATACTTTGTTTTTCTTGTAAACAATAAAATTCACAATTAATAATAATGAAGGACAATAGGAAGGAAAGAAGACTATACATGAAAGTAATCCCTGAAGTTGCGCCTCTGTGGAATTTTACTTCCAGAGAGCCGAAAATGGTGACGAAAAAAATGACAATATCTAGAATGTCAACATGCAGCCTTCAAATAAATAAGTGAGAAAATAAATAAATAATGGAACAAATCGAGGTATTTTAACGTTATAATGCCAAACTAAAGTAAAAAAACAGGGAATATATTAAACATAAACAAAATATCCAAACACAACCAAATAATGAACAAAACTAAAAAAAAAAAATGTGAACAATTTTCTACATTCCTGAGGTAAGAAAAGCAAGAATATAGTGCTTAAATAATAGATAAATATTAAATAACTAGCCCATATACTGGTCATAATAGGGAAAAACAAAATCAAGAAAAGTTGTATTGAAATTATTTGAATGAAAAACAAGCTTCACCTAATTTCAAAGTCAAGTTCTAACAAATAACATGTAATTTTCTATACCAAATGTCATGTAATTTTCAGATGAAAATAATTTTCACTATCAATTTGAGAATAGCCAAACAAAACTTTAACGCCTAGCATGGAAAATGATGTTACCGTATTTCAATGTCAACTATGTGAAAATCAATTTTTTAGAATAATTTCAAATTATTAATGTCAAAATCATTGTAAAATTTGAATGTCAACATTTTGAATTTTTATGAGAAAATTGTTTCTTAATTGAAAGTCAATTCTGTGAAGGTGATAAAATTAAGCAAGTTTTAATGGGGAGTTAGGGATTTATTACTAGAAAACATATGGCATGAATTACAATCTAATCTAGGCTTTAAAGTATCAAGTATCATTAACAAATACGAACCAGCACAAATAAGGATTGCCAATAGAGTAAAAAGAATTTTGAGTATTTTTCTCGGACAGGTAGAAAAGGGTCAAATTACATATCTACTTAGTGGAAAAATTTAATAGTTTACAATAAAAATAATGAATGTTTTTAACATTCTGAACACTATCATGAACTTTTGAACTTTCAACAATTTCTATTTTTTGGCAAAATAACAAGTTTTAAAAAAAATTGTTCAATTCACAATGTTGAAAATAATATGTAAAGTAGGAGGGGTCAAATCTAGGTAGGATTAAGCAAATCTTCTTAACCTGGAAGATTAAAGGCTTAAAGACTAAAATAACTAGGTAACAACAAAATTAACAAAACCAAAAAAAAAAAAAATTGGCAAACTAATTAAATAAGCTATAATACAAAATAAACAGAAAACAAAAACATCCAAAATATTTGGATCGAATTATAAACAAAACCTTTTCACAAGCAAATAGTTGAAGGCTGCATGTAGCTATGTGGTTGCTTATACTGACTAAATTTGCATATTGTACGTCTAAATATGATTGATATTATGCATGGCTAATAAAAACACTGAGAGAATAACTGTGGCTATATGGGCTAAGTTAGCTACAATATCGCTATATTTTCATTTTCACATGTTAGCTTTCAAACATAAATACAATTGTACATATTATTTCACTAAATGTGAATTTAGTAATACACATTGTAATCAATACACATATACATAATTATTATAATTATATACATGTATATTTAGGAATTTTGGCTGCAGACCTGTGAACAAGATTTTTCATTAAACATTTTGAACGTTTCTGCTATATAGAAAACTTGTTCTTCATTATTCATTTCCTAAGTACAGACAGAATCATAATGTTGTCAAGTATCAGTACACTAATAAATTCATAACAGAATTAATTAGGTAGAAATTTGGAAGATTGTCAAATTGATCGAAGGTCAGCAGCAAATGAGGTATTTTGTATGGGAAACTTTGGTCAACTGGCATCTAAAAACCAGGAAAGACTAGAATAATAAAATGAAATTTACAACGCAAGTACAATATTGAATAACTATGATACAAGTACTTATATAGCGCCCTACTAAACTCTATTGTCTTTTACTGTACATCAAAAGGACTACCATTAGATTAACTTCAATAGGTTTCTCTCAGGTGTGGTTTCAATGCAAATTATGTAATTCTACAGTCTAGATTATAGATTATATATACAAGTAATTCTATAGAAGCTGGCTAAAATTATTTATATAGTATTATATAATATGAAATCATAGTTTTCATTAAATATTATCATTAATATATAGCTTGCATGATGTAATAATAAATGGTTTCTGCTACTCATGGCATGTAGGTATCAATAATGTATACAACAATTCTTAAAGGAAAAAAAAAAATCACAAAAAACACAGGAAAACACTCTATAAATATCAACAGTATAAATACAACTCTCCAGCAATAACACAACATAATGACCAAACTTTGGCGAAAAATTTTGGAAGTTTTCTGCTTTGTGCATATCAAAAATATTCACAATATGATGTAATAGTTCAATACATGAAACGTCGACATGTTTTGAAAAATTAGGAAAGAGTAGGAAGAAAAATAGAAATATATTTTGAAAATATCGTATAAATACAAAGGGAAGGGGATGAATCAATTGTCTTCTGTCCAAAAAAAACAAAAATCCTACTTTTTCACACAAAATAGAATGTTATCATATATAATATGTAATTATTAATAATAGAGTAGGATTTTTCACACAATCCTAAAAATCACGCATTTCAAACACACTTAGATTTTTAGGATCACAATATTGCCCATAATATATAGCTTTGTCAAAATAGTTTTAAAAAAAAATCACACTAGAAAAAAGTCAAAACAACAAAATTCAAATCTAAAACAAAACTTTTGTCATGTTTTTGTTTATGATGTGGCATGATTGAAGGAAGGAATCATGGGTGATTTGAGTAATCATTTTGAAATCATGATCAATGATTGATTTTGATTCTAATTTTCAAAATGTTTGTATTAGATGAATTAAATTGAAGAAATGAAATATTTGGAATTGGTTATGATAACTAAAAATAAAATAAACTTCAGAGCTAAATAGACTAAAAAATTGATTCCAAATTATCCAGTTAAACTATGCCAAACCATTTGTATTGAAAAAACATGCCCTGTAGCAAATAGCCATGTTAATTTTGTCAATATTTTTCAATGGAAAATGGCGGACAAATCACCTGTCCAGTTTCTCACGCAGGACAAGCAAGATATTTGACATGAAATCAATATGGTGAATTTCAAAGATTTATATGATTAACTTGTTGGCCTTGTAGGATAGTAAACAACCTTCACTGACGTAGTTAGGAATACAGATTTAATTCTGTCTTCTTTTCATGATTAATTAGCCAAATAATGTTCAGATGAAGTACTGGATGTTCTAAATCATGGTAGTGAATAAGGCATCAAAGAAATCCAAATATGTGAAATTTTAATCATAATTTTTTACCTTTTTTCATCAGTTTAATGGTCAAAATGCTTTTATAGTCATTTTTTATATTCAAGTAATTTTGTGAACCATTGAATCCATGTAAATTTACTTTTGAAAATGTCCAGAATGAAATAATGAATGATTGTTGCAGAAATAATACTGAGATTCTTTCACGTGTAAGGAATTAAGGTTCAAATGAAATAAATTAAGGAACAAAAAAACAAATGAAATTGGAAAATATGCTGCCTCCATGCAAATTGTGTACGAATGTATCCATTTTGCATCATTTGAAAGTAATCAAAAGGAAATAATATTGTGGAATTACTCTGCAAACATAAAGGTTTTGATCTTCATCTTTTGTACAAAACAATAACCAATAAGGTCTGTGATAATATTTAGTGTTGATTTTGAAAAATACATTTTTCTGTCGGTCATGCATTAATAATAATAAAAGGTAAAGTACTCACACATGCTTCACACTCAAACGCAGAATTTAGGTAATGGTAAAAATAATAATAATAATAATAATAATATACATTGCACTCACATTATAGTCGACCTAGATCACACGTAAATTTTCCTGAGGTTGAATGAACTTAAAGCTCACTTAAGACAGATAGAAAGGCCCATGATATAGAAGATAAATAAATATAGTATAATCATCGCAATAATTTCTCAAATACCAAAAGGTGCTTTCCACTGATTATTTTGCTACTAGACAAATACCATTCTTATAATACAATAGCAAAATATAAGTGAAACTCAAATTCATTTGGAATAAATTTGCCACAATTTCACATTTCTATTATCACAGATGCTCATTCCTTAAATAAAATGGTTAAGCGAGATTCCGAGAAAAGTGGCAACACAACAATCCAATCACATCATAGATAATAAGCATATATAGCAGAATTGGAAAGCACCACCGAGCATACTGCTGTGGAACAATGCATTATTACAATAAACTTATTTTAAGTACAGTACACCTTTTCGAAGAGTTTTGACACATTCGCAGCATGGCCCAATTATAACTGCCTTGAATCACAAGCTTTAAGTATTAGAAGTCTAATAAACGGGGTTTGCATGCAGTCAATGGGATAGGGGTGAAAATCGAGGTTTTACCAGTCGGCTCTCATCTAATGATGACTGGAAATGTCTTACTGGTGACTCAATAGGTTCAAAAGTCTTCATTTTCTGCAAATCATCCTCCATTTCTTCTTCCCTTTCTTCTTCCATGTCTTCTTCAAATTCCTCACTCACTTCATCTGACATTTCTCTTTCATCTGATTCCGAGTGTCCTCTCTCTGCATTTCCATTACCATTTCCATTTAATTTACTATGACGTCTTTCTACATGTCGTTTCAATAGTTGTGGGTAGTGAGTTCTGAACGGACAGAACGTACACGACAACTTTGAATCTGATCGCTTTGATTTCTTGGCGTGCACTCTTTGAAAGTGCTTGTGGCACATTACCCGTGAAGCAAATGTTTCACTACACATGGTGCATTTGAATTGTTTGAGTTCTTGACTCCCTGAGATATCCATATTATTAGCATGATATTGTTCAGTATGGTAGGAAAGCATGATTTCATCTGGGAATGATTTCGGGCAATGTTTACAATTGAAAATGGATGATTCCTCCTTTGAAATGTTATGCATTTTTTCTTCATGAGAAGCTAAATTTGACAACCATTTGGTTTTATAATCACACAAAACACATGAATAGTCCTCCTGTAAATCACCTGCAGTTTTACTCCTTTGTCCAAGTCCTTCCTCAGATTTTGGAGATGCAGAATCACTCTCTCCATTTTGAATATCATCAGTTTTTAACGTGACCTGTGCATGATGTTCCTGAATCAAGTGAAGTTGCATTGTTATTTCACTTGGGAAGTTTATTCCACAAATTTCACATGGTTTACCAATACCTTGATCCAGCTTGGATTGTTTTGTAGGAACACGCATATCAAGTGCATCACTTCGAGGCCAGGAAGCATGATCTTTCATGATGTGAGCTTTCAACCATTTGCTGCTCTTAAAATGTCTATCACAAAGGTGACAGATTTCGCCACCACTATTATTGCTTAAATCAGTTGGTTCTTCCATGTCATAGCCTTTTATGCTGGATGGTCTGGAAAAAGGTTTGGAAAGAGAAAGATTTTCTGGTTTTGATTGGTAGTTGTTTTGATCTGGTTGACTGGAAGCATTGCTAGCCGTATCACAATCAGAGAGAGCTGGTGAACCACTAACAGTTGGTGAAAGTGACTTATCACTTGGAACAATACCATGTTTGTTCAGCTTGTGAGTCCTCAGGAAGTATTTATTACACACCTCCTTATTGCAGATTTCACAAATCACCCTGCTGTTATTTACTGGCTCTTTCCATCTCCATGTGCGTTTTTCATAGCTGTCTGGATCAGTCTGCTCCAACTTGGAACTAATTGATGTAGGAGTTGGTGGAAGGTTTGGAGCTAGAAGAGGCATTCCTGATAATGATGATGGTAGAAAAGGAAATCCTGGCATCATTGGTAGTCCTGGCATCATGGGAAGAAGAGGATATGGTTTATCTTTTTCATCAAATTTATCAGCTTTAATACCATGAATATTCAGCTTATGAGTCCTCAAAAAGTATTTACTACAGAACTCTTTCTTGCAAATTTCACAGTAAGCTTCGGGATCAATGCCAAGTTTCATCAGCTCTTCATATGTTGGTTTGTCTGAAGGTGGTGTTAGGTTTAGGTCAACCTTTTTGGCATTCTGTGCTCTGGCTAGTAACTCCTGAGCAAATAGCTCTGGTACAAACATAGGCATGTCCTTCATGTCTGGTTTAGGAAGAAGAGATTGCTTTGATTGAGATTCACCTTTTTGCTCAGGATTTTCACTTAAACCAATGTCTATACCATGAACTTTCAGCTTGTGAGCTTTAAGGAAGTACTTATTGCACAGTTCTTTGTTGCATATATCACACACTACCCGATCAGCTAATTTAGCTGCTATCATATTGCCAAACATGGTTGTTGGATTGTTATTGTTAATTGCGGCTTGGGCTTCATTGGCCACTTTTAGAAGTCCTTCAGATCCAGGCATCTCCATCTTGGGTGCTACAGCATCAGATCCTTCTGGTTCTTTTGTCAAATCCCTTGGCATTTCCATCCTCGTGCCATGCATAGACATGCAATGTACTTTGTAAGAGTACTTGCTGTGGAAGTCTTTGTTACAAAGTTTACAATGCATGACGTCTTTATCCTGATTAGTGTTGGGGCTCTTTTGGCTCTCAGTTTCAGACTTTGGTGGTTCTTTTGATAGGTCCTTAGCCATGTGAAGATACTGCGGAGGGATTTCAATGCCATCATTTTCAAATATTCCATGTTTACTAGCCTTATGGATTTTCAGGAACATCTTGTTGCAGAATTCTTTGTGACAGATTTCACAATAAGCCTCTTGGTTAAAGACAGTGAGATTCTTTGAAGATTCACTTGGTGATGGTAATGAGGAAGATTTAGCGGTTGTTTGATGTGGTTCGGCTGTACGAGGTGAAAGTTGAAGTGGTTGTGAAACATGTTGTGGTAACGAATGTGGATGAAGTTGTTGATGTGGAAGTAAATTATGGTGTTGAAGGAGAGCTACTTGCGGCATGAATGGATTCAACCCATTCAATACCATGACTCCAGGCATATTTGGCATTGCAGGTAATCCAGCAATACTAGCAATGTTGTGAGGTAAGATCATGGGGGAGGACGTAGCTGTTGATGTAAATGGGATGTCAAAGTTAGCACGGTTACGTTTGGATGAAGAGGATGGAGTTTCAGGCACTATACCATGAACATCTTGTTTATGCTTTTTGAGGTAGTATTTGTTACAGAAATGCTTTTGACAAATCTCACAATAGTCTTCCATATCTGGGTGAGTTGATTTGGAAGATGAACTAGTTGTCTCAGTGTTGGCCTTATTAGAAGCTAGCACTGTCACTGGTGGTGGACCTTTTGGAGTTTCTGCTTTGATCATTGACTGTATTATAGCTTCCACTTTTGGAGTGCTTGGTGGTGAAGGTGCAATAACTTTGCTTGGTGTGGTATCTTTAGGCAGAGATAATGATGGAGGAATGGGTAGATTAGGAAAACCACTTGTATTGGTTCCATACGAAAATGGTGAATTCTCATACACACCATGTTTATTTGCTTTATGGGTTTTGAGAAAGTATTTGTTGCAAAATTCACGATCACAAATGTCACAATATGCATCTTGGTGAAAAATTCGATTGCTATCTGATCTGGAGGCTAGGTCCAAGGCTCCCTCCTCCATGGATTGAGATGGTAACACAGGTGATGGCTTTAACGGTGTTGAAGGTTGTATTGGTTGTGGAGATGGTTTAGATGGTAGTTGTATTGGTGGTTGAGATTGTTGTGATGGTTGTGGTGAAGGTTGAGGAGTATGTTTTTCTTTCACTGGAGAATCCTCCTTTTGATTATTGTGACCGTTTGGTACAAATTCTTGTTGTAATTCTCTACCAAGCCGATGATATGCAGTTGGATAGTCTTCAGGTTTTGTTCTGATTTCAACATGGCGAGTCCTTAAATGTTCACTTAAAGCCTCACGTGTTCGAAATGCTTCTGGACATTTGTCACAGGTAATGACAGCAACAACATGCATATCCATTGGTTCTTCTTCATTTTGATCAATGCCATTTTCTTCTCGGTAATTCGCACCTCCATTGCTAAAGTCAAGCACGCCTGGTTGTGGCGGCAAAACGTCCGACACTCGTATAGGTTTGAATTGTTTTCTCCTACTCATTTTAATACTTCAAATTGTCACAGCAAAACTTAATAATAAATAATCCAAGCAACACACTCACACATAAAATGTTTTCAGAAAAGTTATAAAATTAATCCATTAAAGTTTGTCCAAAATCCGAAAAAAGGGAACTTTATCATCCATTAAAAAATGTCTTTCATGTTGCTAGGCCATAATCCACTTAAACTTGGCTCTTGTTGAAACTGAAAGTAAACAAAAGAGATAAGATAAGTCAATGTTTGAAAGACCAATAATCAGCTAGCTGGCTAATTAAGAAATTAATTAAAAACATTTTCTTCAAACTTGGGATGAGATTATACACTTAATTTTAGACTTGATATCAGCTAGTAATTGAAGCTTTCAATTTCAATTTCTCAACTTGATCAAAATTCAGATCTGGCAATGTGAAGAAAATGTTATTAATTGTCAATTTTGACAGCAGTGATAGGGTGATTGGGTCTACAATTGTTGAAAATCCCTGTGATTTACTTTCCATTTATTGCGGATAATACTTTAGGGCGAAAGGTGATTTCATGTAAATAGATGTAACTTGACATCCTCAAACCAACTTCAGTGTTTGATGAAGAAATCTTATTTAAATGCAAATTGCAATTTCAGACTTGTAAAACTTGAGCGACTCGAGTTACACCAAATGAATGGAAAACCACTATATAATTTCTTATTGTTATTCACAGTCGCAAGCGTCTTGGCTAAATTACTTTACATGCCGTTCAATGTTTGTTAACCATAATTACACTGATAAATTGCATGTCATAATTTGCATTCACTGGGTCTTAAGAGCTGATAGATGACAGGAAGAAATCAATATATTATGGCCACAAAGCCTACACAAAGTCCAATGCTTCGTTACATTATTATTGACATTTAAGTTACACAAATCTTTTTCTACTCCACACCACAAATGACAACTTTTTATTTCTTTTCTCTTCTCTCTTAAAACAAAAAAAACTTTCAACTCTTTTTAAAAAAAAATGAAGAAAAAATTCTAAAAGATCTGTCGAATGGCTGATCACTCACGTTTGAATTTACATAATTGGCAATTTAAATTCGTTTCATTTCCTATCACAAGATATAATTCCGATTTAATTTCTAAGTCAGATAGATTGGGTTGTTCACTTAGAAACAAGTGAGACTACAATCTGATTTATTGGTTTCATTGAAATTACAATCCATTAAAATCACTGATTAGTAATGTATTTCTATGGCTAGATCTGCATTCCACAAATTTACAGATTTCAGTCCAGAATAAAATTTCAATTTTATCATATCTTGTAAGGCAACATAAGTCCAAAATTTAATTTTTTTTGTAAAATTTGAGATACTCAAAAGAGTCACAATATATTGAATGGAACGCATATTTACAAATATTTCACCAAAATTATGGATAAAAACCTCTTTGTTTCTTAAACAAGCCAAAATTGATCAAAATGACTTGAAAAGCTCTCCACTCATATTCAAATCCAAAATAACTTATAGAAACTTGTAGGACTACTATCCTTTCTCTTACGCAATTCTCTAAATTAGAAAAATAACAATGGTCACCTAGTTCAAATTCACTGTTTTGCACACTCTTTTGAACTCTGTTGACTTGTAAAAAATATTTCATAATCATTGGAATAAAACTCTCCATATTAAAAATTGTCAAACAAAGAACTATTGTTAACTTTCATAAACAAGCAATTAACATTATAACTGTCCTTTCACCAAGCACATACATACAAAAAATCCTTTTTCAATAATCAGAACATGAAACATTGAAAAAATTAAATAAATTATCCATTTGTGTCAAACTCGGTTTTTCATGTTTAAGAGCACTTAATAAATCAATTGAAAATTCCAGTTCATTATCGACTTAAAAGTCAATTTAAAATTCTAAATACCTTAATTACATGTTCAAAAACATCAGTTAAAAAACACAAAGCATTCTTTTTTTCCATCTTCATATAATCCTGATTAATGTTTGAGTTTTAGATAAAATATATAATAGGTATTAATGAAAAGTAATTTGCTATTACTGTATTCCGTATAGATCGTGTATAATGATTATTGATCCAAAACTTGTGTTGTTTATTCTAAATCGTACACATATCTATCTCCGACTTTTCCAATAAGCACATGTATGGAATCTGTCTGATAAAAGATAGATAGTTTTCAGAGAGAAAAATCAATGAAATAAATGAAATTAATAATGAAATCCGTGGACACACCTTCTGTAGAAGATCAGTTTAAGTCCAACCACCACACTATGGTCAAGTCGCGCTAGGACTGAATCACTTTCAAAACATTCAATACTACAAAACTTAATGCTCATAACCACTTAAAGAGCTTAAAGTCTCTATGGTTTTTAATAAGCACATTACATCAATTAAACAGGATAAATAAGAGTCTTTCTGTAGAAGATTAAATAAAAAAGGATTGAAACTAATTAAATGGAATAAGAGGTTTAAAAAAAAAATTTGAAGTCATTATGAGTTTTTGGGTGTAAAATGTCATTATGTTTTATGAGCTCACTTAAATTTCTGTAACTTACAAATTTTATTATTTGATGATCAATTTTAAGGAATTTCACAATACGATACATTTTTTTTATCAGTTTTTAATCCAATTCAATATTCCACATTAAAAGCCTTTTTTTTACTGAATTTTTTATTTCCGATAGAGAATTTAAATGCAACATTAGCCATTTCAATGCAATGTTTAACATTTTTTTTTCTGTTGGAAATATCAAAGTTGAAATTAATATTTTAATTTTAGCAGGCTGTTTTTCCGTTTTTAATCATACATGAATTTTTCAGAGAAAATTGGAATATTAATCATTTAAAAAATACCAAATTATTCCATTTTTAATTTCCATTTTGTATTTGTGCTCATGTATGAAATTTCATATCAAATGTTTATGAATTTGAAATAAGTTTTAATCAAAATTAAGCATAACTTCAATTAAATAGTATGAATCTATTTAATCATATTGAGTTTGTGTGACACGCTTCAGGTAGTCAATGTGAAATATCATATTCTGACTATTTCTACTGATCTAGCACAGTCAGTTGGTTCTTTACATGACCTGATGGTGGAGGGTTCTTATCTCGGTCGGTGTGTGAAATTCAGGATGACCTTAGATAAGTCATCTTCACTCAGAATTCTAGACAACCTAGCTGTGAATGGGTACAGATAATCCAGGAAAGATCAATGTTTAGAGGTTTGACCAAGGACCAGCTAGTAAAAAGGTTCTCTTCTGAACATCAATTTTTATCCTTGAAAAATATAGTTCTTTCTTTCTTTTTTAAAACAAAAGTACCAACTTTTTGGTGTTTAGCAAACACTTTCAATGAAAACTGAAACTTTTTGTAACATTTATATGACTACAAGAGTAGTTGGTTTGTACATACAAAAATTTTGTAAAAACTTTTGACTGCTACCATTTAAAATGACCTGCTACTGTAATTTTGTCATGACACATAAAAACATCCTTCTTTTATATCAGCACTTTAAATTGTTTAAAATCAATAAACTTCAAAATGAAACAGCTGTCCATGTGTCAACATTTTTTAAATCAATATTTCAATCTGTCATAAAACAGATACATGTGAATTTTTTTTCTGCAATTCATTAATTTTCATGATTTAATTTTTGTTTATGCAATTTTGATATGAATAAGTGAGCAATGATCTTGCACATTTATGGAAGATTCAAACAATTACAGGTAGTTGAAGTGGAAATGAAAGCAGTAAGGACAGATCCCCCCCCCCCCCCCCCCAAAAAAAAAATAGGATATTCTTGACTTTTATATCAGGAAATAACCTTGTGCATTACACAAAGTTCATAATAAATTTGAAGACCAGGAGAGCAAGTTTGGATATAGGAATTAAGACTCCAAAACTAAGCAAATTCACTAAACTTA